CCTTCTCTGGTTTAAAACTGGCTTCTCTGGCTTGAGCCGAGGCCAGGGACCAGTAGCGGGGAAAAGCAAGTGGATGAAATCCCTTCATTCTCTGGTTTAAAACTGGCCTCTCCGGCTTGAGCCGAGGCCAGGAAATTCCTTCCTTCTCTGGTTTAAAACTGGCTTCTCTGGCTTGAGCCGAGGCCAGGAACCAGAAGTGAGGAAAAGCAAGTGGAGGAAATTTCTCCCTTCTCTGGTTTAAAACTGGCTTCTCTGGCTTTAAAACTGGCTTCTCTGGCTTGAGCTGAGGCCAGGAAATTCCTTCCTTCTCTTGTTCTCTGGCTTCTCTGGATTGAGCCAAGGCCAGGGACCAGAATCGGGGAAAAGCAAGTGGATGAAATTCCTTCATTCTCTGGTTTAAAACTGGCTTCTCTGGCTTGAGCCGAGGTCAGGAAATTCCTTCCTTCTCTGGTTTAAAACTGGCTTCTCTGGCTTGAGCCGAGGCCAGGGACCAGTAGTGGGGGAAAGCAAGTGGATGAAATTCCTTCCTTCTCTGGTTTAAAACTGGCTTCTCTGGCTTGAGTCAAGGCCAGGAAATTCCTTCCTTCTCTGGTTTAAAACTGGCTTTTCTGGCTTGAGCCGAGGCCAGGGACCAGTAGTGGTGAAAAGCAAATGGATGAAATTCTTTCATTCTCTGGTTTAAAACTGGCTTCTCTGGCTTGAGCCAAGGTCAGGAAATTCCTTCCTTCTCTGGTTTAAAACTGGCTTCTCTGGCTTGAGCTGAGGCCAGGGACCAGTAGTGGGGGAAAGCAAGTGGATGAAATTCCTTCCTTCTCTGGTTTAAAACTGGCTTCTCTGGCTTGAGCTGAGGCCAGGAAATTCCTTCCTTCTCTGGTTCAAAACTGGCTTCTCTGGCTTGAGCCGAGGCCAGGAAATTCCTTCCTTCTCTGGTTTAAAACTGGCTTCTCTGGCTTGAGCCAAGGACAGGAAATTCCTTCCTTCTCTGGTTTAAACTGGCTTCTCTGGCTTTGAGTTGAGGGCAGAGACCAGAAGCGGGGAAAAGCAAGTGGAGAAAATTCCTTCCTTCTCTGGTTTAAAATTGACTTCTCTGGCTTGAGTTGAGGCCAGGGACCAGAAGCGGGGAAAAACTGAATAATTTCTGACTCATTTAAATGGCGGAAAAAACTTCGGAAGGCCATAGGGACTTCTGGTTTTTAAAAACGCTTCGATATTGTTTCAAAAAGACAATTTTAATGAAATTATTACGAGCAACGAATTATCCGACGCGACTCTATCCATGCCTAGCAGATAATTGACAACGAATGAGGGAAAATAATCCCAGAATTGCATTTTGGAAGACACTTTCAAGTGGCCTGTAGAAGGATAGAAATGTTTGTGTTTGCTAATACATTTCACATTGATTAGTCCTGAAGACGAGGTTTCCTGAGAGATAGGGAGCTGTTCTTTTGTGGGCTTGCAGCTTCTTCTTTCCAGGCCTCTTTCTTTCCCTGGTACCTAATGTTTCCGTTTTTGAAAAGTAATGCCCAAGGACACATTTACATTGTTAATTGTAACTACATGAATTGTATCTATTTCCAAAATCCGGGGAGAAGTGCCGTGGTACTCCCTCAGGTGGCCAAAAGAGAAAAGCGCCATCATTCACAATAGGAAAGAGCAATAGGAAATGTAATTGTCAATAGTACAAGCTTCCTTTTTCCTTCCAAGGCTTTTAAGGAGCTCTCAAGTCTCTCTCGGGCATCCATTTCCCAGAGAAAGAAAGAAAAATATCCCAAATTAGGTGCCAAGAAAAGCAGGAGAAGCAGCCAGTCTTGATGGCAGAGGATGGATTCCTCATTCAAGGGAAGCGTTCTCTGAGGGATAATTATTTAACTAGAGAAGTGTGAATAATCATTATAATTTTTGGAAAAGGCGAGGAAGAAATGCTTCCTATTCCCTCAGAATTCAGGGCGGGAAAGGGAGTCATGTGTGTTTGAAGAAAGAGAAGGGAAAAAAGCCTTCAGATAAGGTTTCCTTTGTGCGTCTTTACCACACAATAATTGGCTTCCATTTTGAAAGACATTCGGCCCTTCCACACAGCCAGATAACCCAAGTCCCTTCTACATAGTTTAATCAAATCCCACATTATCTGCTTTGAACTGGAATACACGGCAGTGTCAACTCAGAGAACTGGGAAGAACTGGTTCGTGAGCACTCTAACTGGAGGTCAGCTGTGACCAGCAGTGCTGAAGAATCCGAAGAGGCACTTATGGAGGGAGAAAGGGAGAACTGTGCCAAGAGGAAGGCATGTCAAGCCAACCTCGACCGTCTTCCACCTGGTAAATAGAAGATATTCCTTTTCACACAGCCATATAAAAGCCACATTAAACTGGATTATCTGGCAGTGTGGACTCAGTTATTCGAGTTCAAAACCAACATTGTGGGTTATTCTTCCTTGATATTCTGGATTATATGCTGTGCGGAAGGGCCCCCAGGATACCAAGGCAGATAATCCACAATATCTGCTTTGAGCTGGATTATCTGAGTCCACACTGCCAGATAATCCAGTTTAATGTGGATTTTATATGGCTTGTGAAAGGGAATACCTTCTCTTTACCAGGTGAAAGCGCTACAGGTCAGGATTGGCTTGACACACCTTCCTCATGACACGTTTCTCCCTTTTGCCCTCCTTCCGTTCCTCTTCGAATTCTGCAGCACTGCTGGTCACAGCTGACCTCCAGTTAGAGTGCTCAAGGGTCAGGTCTTCCCAGTAATCTATGCCACAGAGTCCCCAGGATACCAAGGCAAAGAATCCACAATACCTGCTATGAACTGGATTATCTGAGTCCACACTGCTAGATAATCCAGTTCAATGTGGGTTTTACCCAGCTGTGTGAAAGGGAATACCTTCTATTTACCAGGTGGAAGGCGCTCCCGGTTAGGGTTGGCTTGATGCGCCTTCTTCTTGGCACGTTTCTCCCTTTCACTCTCCATAAGTACCTCTTCGGATTCTGCAGCACCGCTGGTCACAGCTGACCTCCAGTTAGAGTGCTCAAGGGCCAGGCCTTCCCAGTTCTCTGTGTCTATGTCACATGTTCTCACTGTGAGAGAACAAGCGGATCAAGAATAGGGCTCCACAGCCACCTAGGAACCCGTCACCAACACACCAGACTTGGAGAACCATCATCCTCGGGGTAGGAGGGATCGTCTAAGTATCTTAAGTAGATATTGGCTTCTGGGTACTCTGGGAGCCCTTGAAATTGTTGGGGAAACACTTGAGGGGAAGCAAATGCGGGCTTCTATAAAGAATCATAGAATCATAGAGTTGGAAGAGACCTCATGGGCCATCCAGTCCAACCCCCTGCCAAGAAGCAGGAAAATTGCATTCAAAGCACCCCTGACAGATGGCCATCCAGCCTCTGTTTAAAAGCCTCCAAAGAAGGAACCTCCACCACACTCCAGGGCAGAGAGTTCCACTGCTGAACAGCTCTCACAGTTAGGAAGTTCTTCCTAATGTTCAGATGGAATCCTTTTAGGTTCTTGTGGGTTTTTTCGGGCTATAGGGCCATGTTCTAGAGGCATTTCTCCTGACATTTCACCTGCATCTATGGCAAGCATCCTCAGAGGTAGTGAAGTACCTCTGAGGATGCTTGCCATAGATGCAGGCGAAACGTCAGGAGAAATGCCTCTAGAACATGGCCCTATAGCCCGAAAAAACCCACAAGAACCTAGTGATTCCAGCCATGAAAGCCTTCGACAATACATTTCTTCATTGTTTCCCTGCCATTGTTCCGCATCCTAGTCTCCAAGGAAGCAGAAAACAAGCTTGTTCCCTCCTCCCTGTGGCTTCCTCTCACATATTTATACATGGCTATTCATATCTCCTCTCAGCCTTCTCTTCTTCAGGCTAAACATGCCCAGCTCTTTAAGCCGCTCCTCATAGGGCTTGTTCTCCAGACCCTTGATCATTTTAGTCGCCCTTCTCTGGACACATTCCAGCTTGTCAATATCTCTCTTCAGTTGTGGTGCCCAGAATTGGACACAATATCCCAGGTGTGGTCTAACCAAGGCAGAATAGAGGGGTAGCATGACTTCCCTGGATCTTGACCAGGGGTCCTCAAACTATGACCCGGGGCTGGATATGGCCCTCCAAGGTCATTTATCCGGCCCTCACTCTGGGTCAACCTAAGTCTGAAACGACTTGAAAGCACACAACAACAACAATCCTGTCTCATCAGTCAAAAGCAGGCCCACACTTCCCACTGAAATACTAATAAGTTTATATTTGTTAAAATTGTTCTTCATTTTAATTATTGTATTGTTTTAAAGTGTTCTTTTTTTCCAAATAGACACAGAGAACTGGGAAGACCTGACCCTTGAGCACTCTAACTGGAGGTCAGCTGTGACCAGCAGTGCTGCAGAATCCGAAGAGGTACTTATGGAGAGTGAAAGGGAGAAACGTGCCAAGAAGAAGGCGCATCAAGCCAACCCTAACCGGGAGCGCCTTCCACCTGGTAAATAGAAGGTATTCCCTTTCACACAGCTGGGTAAAACCCACATTGAACTGGATTATCTAGCAGTGTGGACTCAGATAATCCAGTTCATAGCAGGTATTGTGGATTCTTTGCCTTGGTATCCTGGGGCCCTCTAACAGTTTGAGGGACTGTGACCTGGCCCTCTGCTTAAAAAGTTTGAGAACCTCTGATCTAGACACTGATGCAGGCCAAAATCCCCTTGGTGTTTAAAGTGGGGTCAAAGTGGGTTAATTGTACAGTGTTAGGCTGTTAGGAATTGTGGGAGTTGAAGTCCAAAACACCTGGAGGGCCAAAATTAGCCCATGCCTGGTATAGATGCATCTGCACTGCACAATAAACCCGCTTTGACTCCACTTTAATTGCCCAGGCAGGGAGATAAAGAGACACGCCCCCTGGCGGCCATCCATAGAGCCGCGCGCGAGGGGGCGGGGTCAGGGAGTGAGGGGCGGGGCCTAGCAGAGAAGGGGCGGGGCCAGGCCAGCCGGCAGAGGCAGGAGAGCCGGCAGCGGCCAGTTGCGATGCGGCGGCTGTGGAGGTAGCTGCTGTTGTTGGTATCCGCGCCCCTCTTTCTCTCTCTCTATTCCTCGCCATGGAGAGCCAGTTGGCGCGCTGCAAGATCGTGGTGGTGGGCGACAGCCAGTGCGGCAAGACGGCGCTGCTCCACGTCTTCGCCAAGGACGCCTATCCCGAGGTAGAAAGGGGCCAGGGCTAGGTGACGCCTAGGCGGATAGAGTTGGGAGATGGAGCCCGAAGGAGAGGGGGGGTCTCCAAGGGAGATCGGAGGGCTTCCAGGGGGATTTGGGGGTCTTCAAAGGAAGTGGGGAAGACATCAAGGGGGATAGAGGGGTTTCCAGGGAGAGAGGAGGGGTCCAAGCGGGACCTGAGGGTTTCAAAGGGCATCTGAGGGCTCCAAGAGATGTAGAAAGGGTTTCAAGGAAGAAAGGGGGCTTCCAAGGGGAGTAGAAGGGGTTCAAGGGAGATTGTAGGGCTTCAAGGGGGCTTCCAAGGGAAGTAAAAGGGTTTCAAGGGAGATTGTAGGGCTTCCAAGGGGAGTAGAAGGGTTTCAAGGGAGATTGTAGGGCTTCAAGGGGGCTTCCAAGGGGAGTAGAAGGGTTTCAAGGAAGATAGTAGGGCTTCCAAGAGAAGTAGAAGGGTTTCAAGGAAGATAGTAGGGCTTCCAAGCAGAGTAGAAGGGTTTAAAGGAAGATATTAGGGCTTCAAGGGGGCTTCCAAGAGAAGTAAAAGGGTTTCAGGGGAGATTGTAGGGCTCCCAAGAGGAGTAGAAAGATTTCAAGGAAGATAGTCGGGCTTCAAGGGGAGTAGAAGGGGTTCAAGGGAGATTGTAGGGCTTTAAGGGGCTTCCAAGGGGAGTAGAAGGGTTTCAAGAGAGATTGTAGGGCTTCAAGGGGGCTTCCAAGGGGAGTAGAAGGGGTTCAAGGGAGATTGTAGGGCTTCCAAGAGAAGTAGAAGGGTTTCAAGGAAGATAGTAGGGCTTCCAAGCAGAGTAGAAGGGTTTAAAGGAAGATATTAGGGCTTCAAAGCGGAGTAGAAGGGTTTCAAGGGAGGTTGTAGGGCTTCAAGGGGGCTTCCAAGGGGAGTAGAAGGGTTTCAAGGAAGATTGTAGGGCTTCCAAGAGGAGTAGAAGGGGTTCAAGGGGGCTTCCAAGGGGAGTAGAAGGGTTTCAAGGAAGATAGTCGGGCTTCAAGAGGAGTAGAAGGGGTTCAAGGGGGCTTCCAAGGGGAGTAGAAGGGTTTCAAGGAAGATAGTCGGGCTTCAAGAGGAGTAGAAGGGGTTCAAGGGGGCTTCCAAGGGGAGTAGAAGGGTTTCAAGGAAGATAGTCGGGCTTCAAGAGGAGTAGAAGGGGTTCAAGGGGGCTTCCAAGGGGAGTAGAAGGGGTTCAAGAGAGATAGTTGGGCTTCAAGGGAAGTAGAAGAGTTTCAAGGGAGATTGTAGGGCTTCAAGGGGAGTAGAAGGTGTTAAAAGGAGATAGTTGGGCTTCAAGGGGGCTTTCAAGCGAGATTGTAGGGTTTCAAGGGGAGTAGAAGAGTTTCAAGGAAGATAGTAGGGCTTTAAGGGGTCTTCCAAGGGGAGTAGAAGGGTTTCAAGTGAGATTGTAGGGCTTCATGGGGATTTCCAAGGGGTTAAGAGGGCTTCAAGGGGGGGGGGGATCTGCTCTCTAAGGGAAATAGAAGGATTCCAAAGGAGATAAGAGGGTTTCCAGGGGGAATAGGAAGCCTTCAAGAGGATATGGAGGCTCCCCAGAGGCACCCAAGGGCTCCAAGGGAAAAAGGAAGGCTTCAAGGGGGAATGAAGAGCTCCAAAGGGGATATTGGGGTATCCAAGGGCAGGAGGGCTTGGGGCATATGGGGCTCCAAAGGAGCATTCAAGTGGGGTCTGAGGGTTTCAAGGGGTTTAAGAGTTAAGAAGGACAGCAGGGCTCCAAGGAGGACTTGATGGAAGAACCAAGGGCTTCAAGAGGGAACTGGGTTTTCTAAGGGGGATTTTGTGTATCCAAGGGAAAAAGGAGGGCTTAAAGGACATATGGGGCTCCAAGGGAGCTTCCAAGTGGGGTCTGAGGATTTCAAGGGGGTTAAGAGGGCTTTAAGAGAGACAGCAGGGCTCCAAGGGATATTGAAGATTTCAAGGCAGAACGGAGGGCTTCAAGAGGGAACCTGGGGCTCTAAGGAGGATATAGAGTATCCATGGTGAATAGGAGGGCTTTTAGGGCATATGGGGCTCCAAAGGAGCATTCAAAGGGGGTCTGAGGGTTTCAAGGGGGTTATTAGGGCTTTAAGAGGGACAGCAGGGCTCCTAGGAGGGCTCCTAGGAGGGCTTGAAGGCAAAACCAAGGGCTTCAACAGGGAACTGGGTGCTCTAAGGGGGATATTAGGAAGAGTATCCAAGGGAAATAGGAGGGTTTTAAGGGGCATATGGGGCTCCAAAGGGGCTTCCAAGTGGGGTCTGAGGGTTTCAAGGGGTTTAAGAGAGACAGCAGGACTCCAGGGGATATTGGAGGACTTCAAGGCAGAACAGAGGGCTTCAAGAAGGAGAACTGGGGGCTCTAAGGGGGATATGGAGTATCCAAGGGAAATAGGGGGGCTTTGAGTGTCAAGGGAGCTTCCAAGTGGGGTCTGGGGGTTTCAAGGGGGTTAAGAGGGCTTTACGAGGGACAGGAGGGCTCCAAGGGAAATAGAAGTACTTCAAGGCAGAATTGAGGGCTTCAAGAGGGAAGGAGGGGGGGAGCTCTAAGGGGAATATGGTATATTGAAGGGAAATAGGAAGGCTCTAATGGTAAATGGGACTCCAAGAGAGCTTCCAGGGTGGGGGGAGGGGGGTCTGAGGGTCAAGAGGGGGTCAAGAGGGCTATAAGAGAGACAGGAGGGCTCCAACGGAAATAGGACTTCAAGGAAGAACTGAGGGCTTCAAGGGGGAATTGAGGGCTTTAGGAGGGAAGTGGGGAGCTCTAAGGGGGATATGGGGTATCCAAGCGAAATAGGAAGGCTCTAATGGTAAATGGGACTCCAAGAGGGTCTGAGGGTCAAGAGGGGGTTAAGAGGGCTATAAGAGAGACAGGAGGGCTCCAACGGAAATAGGACTTCAAGGAAGAACTGAGGGCTTCAAGGGGGAATTGAGGGCTTTCAGGAGGGAGGGGGGGGAGCTCTAAGGGGGATATGGGGTATCCAAGCGAAATAGGAAGGTTCTAATGGTATATGGGGCTCCAAGAGAGCTTCTGGGGGGGGGGTCTGAGGGTCAAGAGGGGATTAAGAGGACTATAAGAGAGACAGGAGGACTCCAACGGAAATTGGACTTCAGGGCAGAACTGAGGGATTCAAGGTGGAACTGATGGCTCCAAGGGGGACATGAGGGACAAGTGAGCAAATCCAGACTGGTCTCCAAGGGACTAAGGGCTCTACTTGAAGGGCACCGGCAGAGACTGCAGAGTAAGGAGTCCAGAACCAGGGAGAGGAAGAAGTAGAGACAAGTGTGTTTCCTTTGCTTTCTGGTAAGACCCAGTGATAAAGGTGCTGCAGCTATGAACAAATCCCAGGTGCCGCAGGCTTTGTTTCAGAGGAAGGAACTGGCAAAACCACTTCTGGGCATTCCCTGCCCAAGAAAACCTTATGAAATTCCTGGGGTCACCATAAGGCAACTTGAGGGCACAAGGAGAGGGGTGAGGAGCCTTAGTGTAAATGGAGCTGGGGTTGGGGACCTAGGAGGAGAAACCTGGAAGGCACACAGGGCTATGTGGAGAGAGGGCCCTTTCACATAGCCCTATATCCCAGAATATCAAGGCAGAAAATCCCACATTTTCTGAGTGTGGATATCCCAGTTCAAAGCAGATATTGTGGGGTTTTCTGCCTTGATTGTGGGATTTTGTGGAATTTTCTGCCTTGATATTCTGGGATATAGGGCTGTGTGGAAGACCCAGAGTGAAAGGCGCTTTGTGTTTTGAGGGACCACATGGACACACAGAGAGACAGGGAGACCATGGGTTCAGGGAGCCTGATTCAGACAAGCTGGAATCCTGCTTTGGAAGCATAACTTGGAGATGGGGAACTGGATCATGAAACAGAATATCCAAACAGTGAAATGCCTGGACAGTCTGCATCTGTATGTAGCCAGTACCAAAGACTGAAAATCACAATGAAGCACCCAATCCTCCCCGAACTATACATTCTGATTCTCAATCCCTCATATGACTGGTTGTTTGTTTATTTATTCATTTGTTGCATTTGTGTCCCATCCCCCTAATCAGCCCAGGGCAATATGTGTGCTCCCACCCTCATCTTCATAGTACCATGTGATATGGTGGCAAAAAAGGTCAATGGGATTTTGGCCTGCATCAATAGGAGTATAGTGTCTAAATCCAGGGAAGAAATGCTACCCCTCTATTCCGCCTTGGTTAGACCACACCTGGAATATTGTGTCCAATTCTGGGCACCACAATTAAAATGATCAAGAACAAGCCCTATGAGGAGCGGCTTAAAGAGCTGGGCATGGTTAGCCTGCAGAAGAGAAGAGAGGAGACATGATGAGAGGAAGTCATAGGGAGGAGGGAGCGAACTTGTTTTCTGCTGCCCTGGAGACTAGGATTTAATTTTTTTTATTTGTAGTATTTATATTCTGCCCTTCTCACCCCGCAGGGGACTCAGGGCGGAGTACAATGTACACTTATATGGAAAACATTCAATGCCAAAGACACACAACAGATATAGACAAACAGTCAGAGGCTATTTAACTTTTTCAGGCCGCCAGGGGAGCTGTCGCTTTCATCGTCCATCTGCGACACTGATGAAGTACTTCCGCATTCCCCACATGCTTTTGCTGGAGTGCATTGTTAGAGTCTTTTTATGGCCTCATAAATTTTGTTAAATTAGCCTCCCCACACATAGGTGGTACCTAATTTTCCTACTTGATAGATGAAACTGTCTTTCAGGGTGCAAAGTTCGACAACAAGCTACACAATTGGTCAGAAGCTCACTCTGACCCATGCTGACTTCTAACTCATGACCTTGTGGTCAGAAGTGATCTTAATGCAGCTGACATTCAGCTGTGCCATAGTCCTAGAACAATGGCTTCAAACTACAAGAAAACCTGAACATTAGGAAGAACTTCCTGACTGTGAGAGCTGTTCAGCAGTGGAACTCTCTGCCCGGAGTGTGGTGGAGGCTCCTTCTTTGGAAGCTTTTAAACAGAGGCTGGATGGCCATCTGTTGGGTGCTTTGAATGCAATATTCCTGCTTCTTGGCAGGGGGTTGGACTGGATGGCCCATGAGGTCTCTTCCAACTCTTTGATTCTATGTGAAGCAGTTCATTTAGGGTGAAAGCGACAAGTCCAAGGTTACTCAATGTGTTTCATGGCTCAGCAGAGATGTGAATCTGGATTGGCGGAGTCCAAGTTCAGCACTTTAACCAATGCATCATCGAAGCAATTTTTTCCAAAAGCATCTACGGGGCATTCCTAACCATTCTCATAATTAAACACATCCAGAACTGGCAAATCTTGCAATTACGATAGGAAGCTGAGAATTGTTGGATGATGCTCCAGCTGCACGAGCGACTGAAAGCAACAGGGATCCGAGGGACGTGTGAAATCACAAGCTCTGGAACAGGATGTGAGGGGGTTCATGTCCCCCTAAGACTCAGCTTAGCCAACATAAGGCAGAATACACTCCTATACCAATGAGCCTCCTTAGAAACAGTCCATTTGAAGTGTACTAAATGACCATGATTTTGCTATTGCTTTCATGCTGCTCAAATCATTTGGATGAATATAGAGACCATTTTAATGCAACATGTTGTGCTTTCATGGTTTTGTAAAAACATCTCTGCAAGCAGTCAACCTGCCTGCCAGTGTTGAACTTAAAAACTGTGCTGGGGCCCCTCTGTGAATTCATGGGCCAGTGGCAGCAATGTGGGTGGGGGGGGTGATTGTATGCTTCTCAGCCATTAACTGCATCTGGCTCTGGTTTCATGCATTCCCGTGCTTTCCTCTGCAGAACTATGTTCCCACCGTGTTTGAGAACTACACTGCCAGCTTTGAGATCGAAAAGCAGCGCATTGAACTCAACATGTGGGACACATCGGGTGAGTGCAGAGCTTGTATTGGGGAGAACATGGCATATGAGTCTAGTGTGTGTATGTGTTTGTGTAACTAGCAGGGCTCAACTATCTAAGGCAAACGGTTGGCATAATAAAGCATACTGGGTACAAGTTAACTCGCAAAGAAAGTGGGATAATGGTCACATTGGCTCTTCTGGACTCTTGGACCAGTTCTTAAACACGCTTCTGGAATGGGCTTCATGTATTCCAAGTAGACTGGAATGTACATAATAATAATAATAATAATAATAATAATAATAATAATTTATTTATATACCGCTCCATCTCTCTGTAATATCACAAAACATACAGAGTAAAAACAACATAACCATAAGATTAACAAACAAAATATAAGCATAAAAATGGTCACCATAACACACATATATTAAAAGTAATCCTGCCTGTTCAAAGCAATTAAAAATTTAAAAGGCCGGGCCAGGATTTGTGCAAGCCCCAAAAATCGAGGGGCCCCGGGAATTAAGTGCAATGGTATGGCAGGCAACAATAATAATAGGAAATCTGCATGCCCACCCCCCTCTAAAACACTCCACCTGCTCATGCCCAGCACTTTTAATTTTAATTATTACATTTGGCCCTGCCATTGTTTTTAATTGTGTCATTATGTGTTGTCAATGTTATTGCTTTGTTTTCTGAGTTATTTTACTGTCTGTTGTTGCTGTATTTGGGCTCGGCCTTTTGTAAGTCGCACCGAGTCCTTCGGGAGATAGTAGCGGGGTACAAATAAAGGTTTATTATTATTATTATTATTATTATTATTATTATTATTATTATTAGGTCTGTGGCTGTCTGTTCCAGGGCCGATTAGAGGAAAGAATCTGGGTAACTGGTATTAGACAATGTGTGGGGCTGAGTTAGAACTGGTCATTTTCAAAGGCTTGTTGAAACCACCAGGTCTTCAAGCTCTTACGAAAGGAGGGGAGGGATGGGGCCTGTCTTATTTCCTTTGGAAGGGAGTTCCAGAGATGGGGGGCCACCACTGAGAAGGCCCTCTCTCTCGTCCCCACCAGACGGTAGTGGGATCGAGAGGAGGACCTCCCCAGAAGATATTAGAGCTCGCACTGGTTCATAGAAGGAGATGCGATCGTGGAGATAGGTGAGGCCCGAACTCTAATATACTGGTTTTAAACCACTTCATTGGATGTGTTGCAATAGCAGATTCCCAGATTAGTGTTTACACCTTATTTTATTTTTCTGGTTATTTAATATTTAATGTTTATTTTACTTAAGTGATATTTGTCTTTACTGTTCTAATGTAGCACAAATCCCATGTAAAGTCATACTACGTATTTTTGACATTAATATTGAACTCTGAAATATATACAGAAAGTCTTTACTTCCTATGTCTACAGGAAATGGGGAAAGAAGAGAATTGAATCTGTATTTTAGTGAATTTGCCTCAAGCCCTATTGCAGGGTTTCGTGATTGATTGATTTGCTTGTTGCTGTGTACTTTCCTGTCACTTCTGACGTATCCTAAAGTGAACCCATCACAAGGTTTTCTTGGTAATATCATATTTATTCAAATTTAGTGCTTACCTATTTTGGCTAAGTGACCTTGCCAAAATTAGGGCACATGTTAGAGTCGTATCATATGGTCATCAGAACTAAAGCAAAAGGGAAAGCTGCTTCAGAGGCACCTGGAGCTCCTATTTGAGGGATGCTGTAGCGAACCTGACTCATTTTAGAAAGTTAAGAAGTGACCTACCTAAAAGGATCGGCGTGTGAACAGCCATTTTGTGATGCCCGGAGAACAGTAGCACCAGTGGGGAAGCCATTTGCATGCGAGCGGCCTGATTGGTCATATGCAAATGAGCGGGTGCCAAAATTTGAAAGAGGGGCAGAGGCAAGGATGACAGTTGGAGAAGCCCAACTGAACATTATATGGCAGTTGGTTAGTGAGCTAGAAGGAGTCTATGAGTGTTGGTCAGTGAGTTAGGGTCAGGAAAGGAAGTACATGAAAAGCAGCTGGAAGATTGGTCAAAGGAATAGGTTAAAGATAGTGTGAAATCTGGTTTTTATGTATTAGTATAATCGTCCTTTTGGGAAGAAAGAATAGATTTGAATGAAACTCATATTGAAACATTGTTCTGTAATCAGCAAGCATTTGATCCTTTGTAACCACTACGCTTAAACTACAAGAATGCTACAAATAAACTAAGTAGCTGTTCCATCTTCAAACAAGCTCTCTCTCTTAATCTCTCAGAGTTATATATACCCGTATATACTCGAGTATAAGCTGAGGCACCTAATTTTACTACAAAAAACTGGGAAAATGGATTGACTCGAATATAAGCCGAGGGTGGAAAATGCAGCAGCTACTAGTAAATTTCAAAATAAAAATAGATACCAATAAAATTATATTCATTTAAGCATCAGTAGGTTAAATGTTTTTGAATATTTACATAAAACTGTAATTCAAGATAACACTGTCCAAATCTGATTAAACCATTATTCTAACCTTCTTCAATGTAAATATGCTTACATGTCCTCCAATAATAATAAATAGAGTAAAATAATAATAATAATAGAGTAAAATAATAATAAAATAATAAATGTAATAATAATAATAATAACAACAACAAAGTAAAATAATAAATAACATTGACTCGAGTATAAGCCGGGGGAGACTTTTTCAGCCTAAAAAAAGGGCTGAAAAACTAGGCTTATACTTGAGTATATACAGTATATGTGTATATTCTTTCGTTTCAAATGGTGGCAAGTGGTGGGATGATAAAATAAAAAGGCCCCCCTGCCAGAAGATTTGTTTGTTTTGTTCATCCTTCGTTTCAGATGCCATCTCTAAATTAATGGGCATGGCTCAGTGCTATGCATTTCTGGGATTTGTAGTTTGGTGAGGCATCAGCATTCTTTGACAGTGAAGGCTCAAGATCTTGTAAAACTACATTCTCGGTGATTCCATAGCATTGAACCAAGACAATTAAAGTGAATTCATTCTACAGCAAAGATATACCCCAATGTTTTCTTTTCCATTGCTGGAAGCTTTGGTGTTCTAAATTACAAAGAGTTCACTGCGCATGACATTTAGCAGCAAATAATTTTGAAAATTGAGGTGTGCATTAGACTCGAGTAACAGGTATGTATTCAGATTGAGTTTGCCTTTGCCTTCCTCTGAGGCTGAGAGAATGGGACTTGTCCAAGCTCATCTAATTGGTTTCATGGCTGAACTCTATTATTATTATTATTATTATTATTATTATTATTATACTTCTGGATTCAGACAGACAGAGTTTTGGAGCATAATACTCCTGGCCTCACAATTGTTAAAAAACAAAGTATGGATCGTCGATTTCGCAATCCCAGGTGCAGCAGGATTGCAGAGAAACAACTGGAAAAGCTGACACATATGAGGATTTAAAGATCGAACTGCAAAGACTCTGGCACAAGCCATCAAGGTGGGGTGGTGATGGCACACTGGGCAGTGGTGGGGGGGGCGTGGGGATGGGGCGGGAGGTGGGGGTGGTCAGGTGGGGGGGGGGGGTGGGTGGAGGGTGGGTAGGTTCTGGGGAGTGGGGGGTGGGGGGGGGGGCACAAGCCAGTCAAGGTGGTCCCAGTGGTGATCGGCACACTGGGTGCAGTGCCTAAAGACCTTGGCTTGCACTTAAACACAATCGTTGCTGACAAAATTACCATCTGCCAGCTGCAAAAGGCAATCTTACACAATATTCACCGATACATCACACAGTCCTAGACACTTGGGAAGTGTCCGACGTGTGATCCAATACAACAGCCAGCAGAGTGTCTGCTGTGGACTCATCTTGTTGTGTTTCTAATAATAATAATAATAATAATAATAATATCTTTATTTATACCCACTACCATCTCCCCAAGGGGACTCGGGGCGGCTTACATGAGGCCAAACTCAACAATACAGCAATGCAAATAAAATAAAATAAGAAATACGGCAGTAAAATATAAAAATAAAATACAGGAAACAATATAAATAAACATCAAACTATGTAAAATCACAATAATTTAAACACAGAAATAAAACACAGTGGGCAGGGCCGATAGCAAGGATAAAAAAGTTTAAAAACCCTGGGTGAGAAGGCAATGTATTGTATCTGGACAGGGGATCAGTCGCCAGAATTAACCCTTGCACCCCACACAGTTGTTTATTCCAATATAGAAGGATAAATAAATTGAGTCAAGGTATTCTGGCTTCTCCCTTCCCCCACTTTTCTTTCTTTCTCCTGATCTTTATTTTCTGCAACTCAGCTTCTATAAACTTTGTCTTAAAAGCTTTTCTCACTAGTCAGAATGACTAGAGTAATCTAAAATTAACTTCGTATGGCACAGATACTTCATTTTCTTGTTGGTACAAAGAGCATTTGCTGTTTACCCGTTAGACTTTTCATCTCACTGCCTCCTGCCAAATAGGCTAAGGTCTTCCTTGGGATCAGTACTTGACTTACACTTCCTAGCATTTTCCTTGTATATATGTTTCCATGGACATTTTGCTACCTCAAGCCCATGTGTACTCTGCTCCAGATCTCTCCCTCTCCAATTCCTCTGTAATATCAAATACAGAAAATGTATTCTGCCTATTCTCTAAAACACTCTTGTTTCCTGTGATGAAAGTTGTTTCAGAATTCATTTTGTAGATTCTGGAGCTAAAGAACTGTAAATCCTAATAAAAAGTGAAGCTTTTGTTTTGGTTATTATTTGATGGTGGTTAGATTATCATTATTTCTTGGTGGTTATCATTATTTATTTGTGAGTCCCCTGCCACGCGTTGCTGTGGCCCACTCTGGTGGTCATGGGGGTTTTGTGTGGGAGGTTTGGCCCAATTCTATCATTGGTGGGGTTCAGAATGCTCTGTGATTGTAGGTGAACTACAAATCCCAGCAACTACAACTCCCAAATGTCAAGATTCTATTTTCCCCAAACTCCACCAGTGTTTACATTTGGGCATATTGAGTATTCGTGTAGAGTTTGGTCCAGATC